GGATCAAACTCGATTCTAAACTAATATGATTCCCAATTCCAAATTGGCATGAATCTTGGTTCTACATACGTCAAAAACTGGATTTCAAATTTTTCATAATTCCGATTCCAACTGGTGCAAAAATCGGTTCCACATATGTTGGAAACTCGATTCCTAAGATTTCAGAATCTCAATTTCCTTAGGGGTCGATTCCAAGGAGGTAGGAATCTCAATTCCAGGGAGGTTAGAATCTTGATTCCATATTCCATATGTGGTGGAATCTCGATTCCATTTTGGTCAATTTTTTATTCCCAAAAAATAGGAATCTCGGTCCCTGCGATTCCTCATTGGACGGATGTTGATTCTGAAAACAAGAATGTTCTAGCCGGCCGCGATTCCGCAATTCTGATTCCTAAAGTGATTCGGGTTCCCAAGCATTTCCCGCAACTATGATTTGGTGTGTGATGTGGTTGTATAACTTTCGAAGTAATTGAATTTGTTGTTCATGTATTTAAAAGAAAAAACTTTTCCTCGTATCCAATTGTTCTATGTTATTTAGTGAATATTTTCAGATATGCTCTAGGAGTGGAGTTCGTTCCACCTTGCTAGGATCAGGTGGCATGGTGTTAGATCGGTTATTAGTGTAGATGAGTTGATAGAGGAACACAATTATATCTAGGGTCAAAAGAATCTCTTATCTTGTTGCCAAATTTTCTTAGCATGTTGCTTTTGAATTTGAATTTTTATTTATTGTTCATCACCTCTCCTCCATTTTCATTTGGAAAGTTAGTCTATGTTTTCTTCTTATTGATATAGGTCACACACACATATCGTAAAATATTTGATGCATCGGGGTAAAATGTTTGATGTGTTGGGCATATTCCCCATCTAGATCACCTTGTTTTTTGAACGGAACCAGAAGATGATTCTTTCTCCTACCTAACAAAAGGAACTAAACCCAAAATATCGATAAAACCAAAACCTTATCTTGAAAGCATAATTCAAGCTCCAATCTTGAATAAAGTTAAAATATTAATATCCATTATCATCATCATCGTCATCATCATTATCATCGTAGCCTTATCTCAATTATTTCGGGTCGGCTACATGAATCATGTTCCTTCGTTTTTCTCTAATATAAAATAGGTTCAGGATTCATGATACGACGTGGCAAAGTTTTACGCTAGTTGCTACCTAACGAAACCCACCTCCTTTACTTGGGCTTGGGATGGGTTTAGGGAATGTTAAGGTCCTCACCCTTATTAGAACTAAGAAAAAAATCCTTGAAAAACAAAAAAAAATCCAAACCTAAATTCACAGCGAATCTTAGCAAACACTATCAAGAATCGAAACCCATATTAGGAAAAATGTCAAACGCAATTCTAATCTTGAAATGGGGCAACACCAAACCCCAACTTTAAAAAAAAAAGAAAAGAAATAAGAGAGAGAAGAAAGTATATCAATGTTCAAAAAAAAAAAAATCAACTTTCAATAAAAAAAAAATAAATCTAAAACCCAATATTGAAAAGTATCACAAAACTCCTTTTTAGGCGCACGTGATCAAGGTTTTTCTTAAATCTCACAACTATAGGAAGCCTTGACTAGAAACCCTTGAACAATATGCGATCTTTGTGTGTGGGACGTGCTCAGCTTTTCATTTCCAAAAATATTCTAAGTGTGAGAGAGGCTGCTGAGATGAGGCTAGAGAGATGAGAGAGAGTGGTGTGCTACTTTTGGAGAGAGAGAGAGAGAGAGAGAGAGAGAGAGAGATGTGACTTGTGTTGTAGAGATTTGGGCCCCCACAATGAGACAATATATAGACTTTTGGTTAGGGTTAGGGTTTCTAGGGTTACCCATCCTTGAAGATTTGATCTAGACCATTGATCATAAGAGACCAGTGGGGTGAGAGATCTTAGCCTTACAATCCATAAATTAGCTATCATGATCTAATGGAAGGTGCTAGAACATTATTCTTCAGCTTCCTTAACCTAAATCCCATCAAATATTTAATACGAGGAAATATATTTCTGTTTCCTCTTATTTCCATTCATTCTCTACACATGCCTCTTTGAAAAGTCAAAATATCTTTCATTTCAAAACCTTCCTTTTTCATTTCAATTGATTGAGTGGCCAACTTACATGCCACAAAATAAGAAAGAAGGTTGCACTATGTGGGGTGTGTCACTCATGGGGCTCTAGTCCACGCACTTCCCCGCATGTTTTAATTTGGTGGGGCCCATGGAGTATAATGGGCCCCCATGTGTATTAGTAATTAAAAAATTAACTAATGATTTTAGAAAATATTTACTATTTTATTTCTCTTTGAATAATTAAATATCTGAAAATTTAGTTTAGGCATATTTATAAACCTGTTTTGGTAAAATAAAATCTGAAAATCATTTATAATCAAGGTAATTATTTCTAAACTAATTTGATGGGATTCTGATCCTACTTAGTTAAGGAAAATGCAAAAATACTAAAGCACTCCATTTCTATTAGAGACTATGAACCACATTCACTTTCTCAAACTGAACCAGTAGTTTCCATGACCGGTAGTACATTACAAGGGTTCATAATTGGGCCACCAAAGTCAGCCAATAGGTGAAAGGAGCACAATCTTAGTTTATGGACTACAGGTTCCCCCAAGGGATAAGCCTAGGTCACACAAACTTGTGCACACACATCACAATTTGGTGCATAGGGGCTCTTTCTCGCATGTACACGCAACACCCTCAATGGTGCTTTGCTTCTCGATACGGCTATCATATGTATATTGTCGTGTGATGGTCTAAGATGAGGATTTGGCCCTTGTCGCTTCAAGCCTACTAATCACACAGAAGGGTCACACAGTCCCTTGACAAACTACCTTGGACATCTCCGACCTTATCAAGGGGCAACCCTACTAACCCTTCGCGGTTGTGCCTTATGCCCAAGTATCTTAGGGTTTTAGAATTCAACTGGCCTAGCTCGTCAAGCCTAGTTTGAGTCTCGGCATCAATATTGTCAACTTTGGTCCCTCTGGACTACACTCCCACTAGAGTTCATTATTCCACTATAATAAAATTGGTCGCGTGCTCTCATAAAGCCTTTAAATAGCCACAAAAACCCAACACTTGAGGGCAGGTGTCAAGCTCTGTGCTTTGGGCCAAGGCACTGGGCGCCTATTCCTTCGCATGCCTCAAGGTGCAGAGCCGGGAAACCTTCTTGAAAACTATATAATCTTCATAATATCCATGGATGTGGGGAGCTTGGTTTGGTGGTGGCGACTCACCGCCCGCCCTCCCGGTGGGGGAATCTTGCTTCAACAATCCTAGAAGTAGAGCACGAGCGGAGCTCGCTCCACGGCCTTCATAAAGGGTTCTCAATCCCTATCTTGTGAAAGGGACCTTGCTCCTTATGAAAGGGACATTGTGACCCTATAGAAAACGGGGATACGATCTTGTTTTAAAGAGTTATCGACCCTAGGGGTTTTTGATTTTGTGCTGAATTTTTGCTTTCTGAAAATATTCTAGCTAACAACTGCATGTTGAGTTTTTGCATCGGTGGTTGTAAAGTGGTGTGCTGACTCGAAATCGGCTTGGATGCTAGGGGTCTCCTCTCCAGGATTGTCCGGAATTGGGAAATTGTCGAAGTTGTCCAAAACTGGGCAGTTCGCACTGACTAAATCCCCTATGTAGCTCAGTTTACAGCTGGGATTTTGGCAATTCCTAATTTTGGTTCTCTCATGGCCCTGGAATCTCTCTTTTCTCAAATTGTCTTAGAACTATCAGGTCGTAGAGTTCTCATTGTGCATGTGTGTTGTTAATTCTAAAAAGTGGATTGTATGTTTTTCGTATTATATATGTGTATATATATATATATGTATATGGTTCTTCCCAAGTCTTCTCATATTCATATAGTACATATATCAGGTTGTTCCCTGAGCAATGCTCGTAGCCATTCCTAAGGTAGGGAGCTTCTGCCATGGGTTGGTCCTAGGTTCCTGCTCCCACTTCGGTTCTTGCTCCTACTTTGGCTCCCAACAATGTATGCGATACTATAGCAGCCCCTCAATGAGGAAATCACCTCAAGATATTAATTATATAATACAGATATTACATTGTATGCTTCCTTATTTATGGGTTTATGTTCATCTTGTTTATGGATTGGCTTGGATCGTTTATGGGCCTGTTTAAGTAAACAAGTGAAGCCAAGCCAAGGTTGGAAGTCAGGCCATGCTCAAGGCCCCTCTTCCACAAAGTTTGGAAGCCGCCCCTTGTAGGGGTTATCATGGAATTGGTGGCCTCCAAACAACAATGTCAATTGAGGTTGTTTTTTAAGGCTGCTGGAAGCAACAGCGTCTAGCTATTCCATTCTCGTGTAAGAAACGCAGGAGTGCTACAGTCCTTGGATGCTGCAGCTTCCACAAAACAAACACACCCTTAATGAAGTCATGGCTCAAGCTGGGTGGTTCAAGCTTGAGTCACGCTCAAGTGGAACTCGAACTTGTCCTCCCTCTCAACTGCCCCACCCCGAAAATCCCCATCCAATTCATGCCATGCTAATGCCCAAGCTCGGCCTGGCTCGGGTAAGTGACACCCCTAGTTGTGAATCATGTGCAGTTTTTGTACATGGGACTCATTAATATTTACAAGCTGAATGAAGTTCATTTACCAAATTGAACTCCTTATTCTATTTTGAGTCCTTGCCATTATTTGGAAGGCAATGTACTTGGTATAGTTATTATTGATGTTACAAACAATGGGTTGAAATCTTCCAGTAATTGTTACCATGGATATATGAAGAGATACATGAGCATTGACCAGGAAGTAAAAACAAATGTTGAAAATCCGATTATACAAAAGTATATCAAAGCGATTCATCTTAAAAAGCATCGGTTCTTCAAGGCTGCGGAAAATAAATTTTGTTTCCATGAGCATGAATATGAACTGGGCTCTGTAATTTATATAGGTATTTAATTGTTTGATGGTCAGTTCTTGTGATATGTTCTTCGCATCCCATCTATTTCATTCTTATGGCAGGAATGGGAAAGACCAAAACCAGGGCGGAGGCCTGATATATTCCCCCAGTTTAGCCCAATGAAAACGCCTTTGCCACCTCCCATGCCTTATGATCCACCAGAGGAAGATGAGGAAGAGGAGGAAAAGAAAGAGGGGGAAGATGAGGAGGATCCTGAGAAGGAAGAAACTGAGAATCCAGAGGGCCAGTAAGCTGGGTCTCTTGTCTGTAGGACTTAGTGGCTAAAGCTTTTGTCCTTCCCATTGCTTACAGCCTTTACGCCCTTTTTGGCAGAGAGTAAGTGTGAGTAGGTTGATGCATGTATATTACCCGGGGTATGGGGTTCGGCAACTCAATGGGGATGTGAACAAATGGTAGGATAGGAGGAATGTTTGGCCTGAAAGTTGCGCAAGCTAAAGGGCCTTTAGCTGGGCTTTGTAGTTTTAATTTTGGAGGGTCCTTTGTATAAATATCTGAGTTTAGGGTTTCAATTGCGGATGTAGTGATGTATTGGTGTCGTGATACCATTTGATCCTTCACGTAAGCACTGGTTTGCTTCATTGATTTATTGGAAATGAAATGTGGTTGTTTATTTCTTCTCTTCTATACCATCTACAGCAAGTTGTGACTTGTAGCTTCTAAATTGCTTGTCACTTGATGGTGATGATATGATTGTGATGATGATTAGAGAGATGCTAACTTTTGATTATTTTTTTTCGGGTAATTCAATGGGGAAGACATGGCCCTAGGTATTTTTTTCCAAATAGTTTAAGAGGAGGGAGCTAGTGTCAGTGGGAATGAAAACCACAATATGTAGGCTAGAGAGTGTGTGTGGTGATTAGGAGTTGATTTTTCGAAGGTGTGAGGGGGGCTAGTGTTTGTGGAATGGAAACCACAATGTGTTGACTTGTATTTTTTTCCGAATAGTTTAAGAGTTGATTTTTCGAAGGTGTTAGGGGGCTAGTGTAAGTGGGAATGAAAACCACAATATGGTGACTAGAGAGTGTGTGGTGATTAGGAGTTGATTTTTCAAAGGTGTGAGGGGGATTAGTGTCCGTGGAATGGAAACCGCAATGTGCTGACTAGAGTGTGCGGTGATTAGAGAGATGCTAGTTGATATCAATGTTTTACTCTTTATATTTCCTTTTATTTATTTTCTTGTTTGTGGCAAGTTGCCTCCTACTTGTGCTTTAGGTGTATTCCGCAAAATTTGAACTCGATGCTCTAAAGCTCCGAGTCCTTGCTTTTTAAGCTCTTAAGAAATATTTGGTCTTGTGGTTATGACAGTGATTCAAAAAGCGGACTACCCAGTGTCTAGGCGGTCCAGAAGGCCTGGACACATCGCTTAGGCCTAGGCACCCAATTTGGGCAGTCAATCCCTGGGCGGCTCCCCAAGGGCGGAAAAACCATTCAGTGACGGTATTTTTTGTTTTTGTTTTTGTTTTTTTGTTTTTTTTTGTTTTTTTTTTGGTTTTTGTTTTTTTGGTTTGTTTTTTTAAGGGTTAAAAATTAAGGTTTTAGGTTCATTTGCAACCTAAAACATGTTGGAGTCAAATTTACCCTAAAAAAAATTAGATTGTGGTGAATTTTTTAGGATCAAAGGGTTACTCAAAGTTAACAAAAATTGATCAAAACATCATCCATTGGTATTATATTTACTTTTTGATGTTCTTCAAAGTTATTAAGGGGTTTTTAGAAGATTTTGAGTATTTAGAAGCATTTTTTACGTTGAAGTTTGAAAATTGAGCGATCACACTCGAAGATTGAGCGATCAAACTCGAAGTAAGTGATTTTTTTTTATTGCTTTAGTAATTTGATATGGAGTATGAACCGACATATGGATTATGGTTATGTTTAATATGTAGTATAATTTGAATTATGTACTGCAAAACATATAACCAATCATTTAAAAATCGCCGAGTCGAACCGGACTCGCCCGGTTCGACTCGGGAATCGGCATTGGCCATGTCCGTTCCAGTAGAAAACCGGGAACCGCCCAGTTCTAGAGCAGAACCGCCGGCTCCTTCCCGGTTAAAGCCGGTTCCATCCCGGTTCTAGCCTTCACATGTGTGTACACGTCATGCGTGCCACACACCACTCACACGTGTGTACGTGTGACACGAGCCATACACACTCCCACACGTGCCACACGCACATGCACGCACGTGTGTGCATCACACATGCCACACGCACCACTCCCACACATGTGTACGTGTCACACGTACGACACACACCAGTCCCACATGTGCCACACACATACACACACATACGCGTCACACGTGCGACACACACCACTCCCACTGTGACACACGTGCGACACACACATACACGTACGTGTCACACATGCGATGCACACTACTCTCACATGTGCCACGCGTGTGACACGCATACGCGTCACACGTGCGACACACACCACTCCCACTGTGACACACGTGCGACACACACATACACGTACACGTCACACATGTGATGCACACCACTCTCACATGTGCCACGCGTGCGACACGCACATGCACATGTGCATGTGCACTGATGCCCTAGTGTTTTCACATTTGCATTAATCTTCCAATTATATAGTTATTTATATAGCATATTTGAATACTCATCCTTCGATGTGGGATAATTCCCCAACATCATTAAATGAAAACATAATATAAATATATGCTATTAATAGGCAATTTTAAACACATATGTTAAGGAAGAATGATGGTTATCACTAATGTCATTTGTTTTGACATCTCAAGTTTGAATCCCCTCTTGGGCCATATAATAGTTATCGTTTCTTGAATTTTTGTTCCCCCTTGGGCATATAATAAATTAAAGTGTTTTTTTTGTTCCCCTTTGGGTATATAATAAATTAAAGTGTTTTTTTCAAAATTTGTACGCATTTTATTAATTTTTACATTGATAACCGAATCTTTTATTTTATTTATTAATTTTTACATTATAAATCATGTAATGTACTATTTGTCTTACAGTTGTTAATAATACATTTTAAATTAGATAATATTATAAAATATTTTTAATTTGTTATTATTTATTTAATAAAATAACTATAAAATGTAAACTAATAATTATAATTTCAGTATATAAT